TATATTTGTAATGCATCCATGTTCAATGCCTTATTTGGTAACAAAAGCTTGACCATCTTCAAGCTACACATTTGCTTTACAGAATTACCAGAAGAATAGGTTTTTGTCATTTTCTAGAAAAAAAAAAAAAACCATTTTTCGTTTACATTTGTTTAATAAAATTGTAAATGTTTGTGATATAATGGATGGATATAGAATGCAACAAGAATACTCTTTCGACATGAACTTATTGGGCCAGATATTTTCTAACAAGTTACAGGGTTCTAGTAAGACATGATCGACTAACCTCAAATCTTCAAAAAGAAGGAACAGGGGGGCAACCTAAGTGACGCCAATTTAATACACATTGAGGAGATGAATAAAAAATGCAACCCACAAATGAGAAAAAATAAAAAATGCACCCCTAATTATTGATTTCATCTGAGAAATATCACACAAGTAGTTTCTAAAAAAGTTTCAAATCAATCCCTACTATAACCATCAGTCCATCACATTAACATAAACTGTAGATCAATATCTTATCAGTTTATACGTTTATTACATAATCAAAATAGGAAAAAAATTGATGGTAAAAGCAAGAAGAATAGAGCTTACAGCCCAGTAATGTTTATTGGCAATATTTCATCCACCTCTCACCTCTGTACTTGTGAACAATAGAAAGAATGTCGTGCCTCTTTATCCAGTTCTTTGCCAACACAAGTTTGCTAACAAGACTGGCAGGGGCTGGAGCTCCTGTAGTAGAACTTAGTATTTCATCCTTCCATGACCCCATATTTTGTTCTCCTACATGATTGTTTCATATGATTAAAACGAAACCAAAAAAAAAAAATTTAATATATTCCATTAAACATAGAGACCATAACAACTTCATTATTTTAATCGAATAGGAATGAGAAATTAATAAACCATAGAATAGGATCACTTGAAATATAAAAATCACTCCTTTGAGGTATAAAAATNAATCACTCCTTTGAGGTATAAAAATCAGATCTTCAATGACCAAATCAAGTACGGAAAACTACCGTCCAAGTTTTCCATTTTTCCAAGAACAATAACTGCTAGTATATAAGAAGACAATCAAAATTTTCACAATTCAAAACTAACATAATTATTTCATCCCATTAAAATTTTAGCCTCAATAGTTATCACAAACAAACAAACCAATAAAACGGTATTGCTTCCTCGTTGATGGTAGCATATAAACAGTGTTTATAGTTCCCTTTAGGTTGCCTCTTTTTTTCCAACATTTCAACAACAACAGGAAGCTAATTTCTGCTCCTACCGAGCACCCCATTTCACAAAGTGAAGTTAGGGAAATTATAGCTTCTTTTGAGCATCATGACAGAAAGGAACATGAGAGATTATAATGTTTCAAAAACCTGTCCAGTGATGTAACTGGCGGAAGGATTAAGAGCCAAGAATTCCACGAGTCCAGCAACTTCTTCGGGTTGGCCATACCTTCCTGATTTAAGAGTAACAGTCTATTCATTATAACAGT